TACTACTACTACTACTTGCTACTGCTACTGCTACTGCTACTACTACTACTACTACTACTCCTCCTGCTGCTGCTGCTGCTGCTGCTGCAGCTGCTGCTGCTACCACTACTACTACAACTACTTCTGCTACTTCTACTGCCACTGCAACTGCTACTGCGACTGCTACTGCTCTACTACTGCTACTACTACTTCTTCTTCTTCTACTGCTACTGCTACTGCTCTGTTACTACTACGACGACGACGACTACTACTACAACTACTACTGCTCCTACTTCTGCTACTTCTACTGCCACCGCAACTGCTACTGCGACTGCTGCTGCTACTACTCCTGCTGCTGCTGCTGCTTCTGCTGCAGTGTGCCAGTCAGCCAGTAAGCATGCAAAGATGCAAAATCAATAGTAGACTTCCTTGTCCACTCCAATGTCCTCGGCGTCGTCGTTAGGCCGCTGCAGCTACGTTGAAAGCAACATCCCCTGGGAACGTTCGTTGTTCGTTGTTTTGTCCTCTCGGCTTTCGGTACAAGGCTGTTTAGCACCACATCTCCACATGAATCGCACAGCATGCTCGAGGCAGATGCCAAAATGCTGCGGTGTCGCTAGTGCGTGCAGCGCAAAAGATCCGTGAAAGCTTTCCAAAAGACCTGTTCAAGTCAAGTTCGCCATATCAAGGCAACCTGCCCGATCGCGAGGCTTGAAGGTCAACCTTTCAAGACACTCCCGCCCAATACCCAATACCCGGAATCTCGAGCCCTCGAGACCTGACAAGTGCATGGACTTCGAACTTCCTTGCCACGACAAGGAACGACTGCTATTCAATATACATTCGCAAATATGTGTCCGCGATGGTCCCGCGAAAGTTCCGCAACAAAGATCGTGAAGAATGGGGGATGAGCGAATTCACATCAACGCCCGTGTGTTTCTTCGAGCACTTGGTTTGCTTCATAATCTTTCAACACCTCCCGTATCTGACCCGGAGCAAAGACTTCAAGAGCCAGAGAATCCTTGAGACGAAGCAGATGCACGCTAAGGCGGTCAGGCCGTGGCACGGAGGCACAGTGAGGGGAACTCTGGCAAAACGTCGCCACAGCTACAGCTGCTACTAAAGCTGGGCTTAAGGGAGTCGGCAGTACCTTTGCTAGTACGTGAAGCCCCACATGACATGTTGCAGCAGGGAGCCAGATTCTTCTAGGCTTCATGCTGTTATAATCACCGCCAGGCCTTTGGATTGGTCGGCAAGCAGAACTGTTATGTATTCTCGAGTTCCCTCTCGCCTTCATCTCGTGTTCAGTCTGTCGGTGCAACCCTGCGAAGGCCTACAGGCAATTGTCGCAGAGCGTCAAGTTCGGTTTGGAGAACAACACATTCATCTTTAGCGTACTTGTTCGCCGGGGGTTTTGGCCTGTGAAACACTGTGCTCAAGCTGTCAATGTCAATCGACAGTGTTGTAATTTCGACCAAGGGCCCAACCATTCGTGATTTCAAGAGTCCTCCTACCAGAACCTTACCCTGTCCTACTAGGACATCTAAATTAAATCCAAATTGGTTCGAGCTGGCGCCTCCGCAACCGCGCGCCGAATCCGAGTAGTGCGTAGAGCTACCTGTCATGCTAGAGCCCGATCTGCTCCTGGGCAGATGGCGTCACCATCGCCTGCCCTCGGGTCCTGGCACAGCAGCTTTGGCGAGGGAACGGGACCCAGTTCCCGGCTTCTGCTAATAGGAGCATCAAGTGTTCAAGAGTAGTGTAGCAGATCCGTTTCAGCGCACTGACAGAGAGCACAGAGAGCAACAGTCATGCTGTGCTGTAAAGAATGGAGTAGTCAGAGTCAGCGAGTGATCATTGAACAAGATATGAGTGAGGATGGAAAGGCAGGGAACCTGTAGTCGAGTTGTTGTGTGCAGCAAGTCCACGTAATTGAGAAACCGCAAAGCGATGTTAGGGCACTCGTAGACTTGTACTCGGACAGTGACGGCAACACTTTGAGAAGAGTGTCAGACTATGAGATCTACGCGAACAAGTATGAGAACAGTACTGCGAAGGCTTAGTCTGAATCTAAGGGCTTGGTCGGGACTTCATTACATGGTACACATGCTGCACTCTTTGTGCTTGGGATGTGGACTACTTAGAAATGTGCCATCTTGACCTTATGCTGAGGCCACATGTACTGCGCGAGATGAGCCAGGCTGCGGGAATTCCCCGCCCAGACCTGCTTGTCATCCATGCGAAATGAAACAAGCTTGCCACGAATGTCACACAGTTTGGACTCCCCATATGTGCAGGCTAGCTGCACACCAGATTCGGATCTTCTTGATGTGTGGTTTCTTCCCAAGTATCGAAGCGACTTCCAAGTTCGTGTGAGGGCCTGCCATTTTGAGTGTCGTCGTTAGATTCTGACTCATGCTTTCTCGCTGGAGCCATCCATGAAACTCAGATTTGGCTGAGAGACCAGATGAGCAGAGCACTCGCAGCCGGGCTGTGCCCGGCATGGATTCTGCAAGCTTGACCAGGAGACAGGTGCTCATGTGTCGGTTAACGACTGCGCTGATGGTGACGGAGGGCAGTTTCCTCAGCAGGTCCATCGAAACGGACCCAACGGAAAGTCGGTAACAGCTGTGTTTACCGATTCTTTGCCACTGCAGGCCGTACTTCCTATTGGCAGGTCCTCCGGAGGCGGGAAATGCGGGGGAAGTGCTTGAAGCGCAAAAAAGAAGTGGGCTCCTGAAGCGGCCAGGCTCGCGAGATGGCGAAGATGCACGTCCGTGCCAGCGGCCTTAAAGAGACTCTGAGACTCGCCACGGAAAGCGACAGCGGCTGCGTGCCGCGCAACCCAAGGCCTGGCTGGATGTGAACTCGCGCCCCTGGCTTCCAGGTTCGGATTCGCCTGCAACCTCTATTGCAAAGGTCTCTACTTGAAAGGGGTGGACTAAGGTCGTGTTGCATCGGTATGCGAGACTAAGAGAATGGACGAGTATGTATGCACGTGTAAGTGCAACTACGTATAGTGTAACATAGTGTAACTGTAAACATGAAGAACCATGGAAGTTATACATGGGAAGATGATTCAGAAGTGCACTTGAATGAGCTGGCACAGGACGATCTTACGTAGTCTCACGTGATGTGCTGCAGGTGGTGTACAATGCACTGTCAAGTGCTTCACGAATATTAAAGGACAGTGCAAGCACATTGCGCTGCAACATGCACTAGAATCACTTCGACACTACACATCGTTGCATCTTTGAGTTGCCGCAGCGGCACAATAGATGATACTGTTGCATGAAAAGTGTGTTCACATGCTGTATGCGATAGTATTTCGTGCAAGACAGAGAGAGAGAGAGAGGAGCGAGAGAGCGAGAGAGATAACACACTGAGGTCACTCAGCGAAGCATGGTGATGTCAATCCAAAGCCACAAGAGAATGTCACATGCCTTTGTGGAACTCTGCGGCTTTTGTCTCCCCGCATGTGTCTTCACTTGCCTGAAATGGTAGGGGAGCCTGATGCTATGTCATGGACTCTTCTAATTTGGCTCAGTTCTTCTATTGTACCTTTGTCTCCACGCTTTGCCCATCCTTCCCGCCCCCAGCCTGTGTCTCAGAGGGCCCCGAGTTCGTCCTAGTTCCAGATGGATGCGACATGTGAGATTCGGATGATGCCGTCTCGGTCGACGAGGTCTTTTCGTTTGCCGTGGCAAAGGTATGCCGATACATCTCATCTCTAGCGATGTTGAAAAGGCGAGAATTCGAGGATGAAAAAGGTTCAAGCTGGTGCATGTCTTCAAGCATTGCATGCACAGGACGGCAAATCATTGTAGCTCAAACAATCGCAACTTATAACGCAATTTACCAGTCCACAAGGACTGCCCCGAAGCCACGACATCCGTACAGTGCTACAGCCTGTGCGCATCTGTACACTATGCCTAAAGGAATGCCATACATTATGCCTTGGTTACACCATGATTATGTGGTCTCATGTTACACTTTGCAGACATGATTCACGCGGTGCTAGCGTCCTAAAGATGACGTTGTCTGTCTCTTTTTGTGGCAGTGCCACTGTGTCTCAAACTTGTTAGACCGAGATGCCATGTTGTGTTGGTATCGTGGAGAAGTGATATTTTTTGGCTTTGCCAAGATGTTTGCGGAGCTTTGTGCAGGCGGTCCGCCGTCACCGCCGCAGCCGTGCGCCTGGCACGTCGCCGATGGCTTGAACCCCCCATGTGCATCCTCAAGGTCATCGTTTCAACCAAGCGCGCCCTGGACAGATGCCAGCATGCGCCTCAGACCTGCGCTTTAAGGCATGTGGATGCAGCTGCAATTCTGCAATGTTTGTTTGGAAGGCTTCCCGCCAGGCTTCCCTCCGTTTCCAGGCTCTTGGTCTCTTCAGGGAATGCTGCCGTGCGCCTGTACCTTTTAGCAGAGCCAGGCTTGCCAACGGGCCTACCACCAGCAGGCTTTCCTCCTGGCTTCGCGTGGTCGCCTGAGAGAGGAGCCTCGCAAGAAGAAGCCGTGCAGCACTCTCCCAGCAAAGGCCGCTGCAACCCTCGAGTCCAGGCCAGCTTGGATCGAAAGGGCAAGTATCTCTCCTCTCTCCTCTGATTTTCGAGTCGACTGGGTCGACTGTTGGGAGGTTTCTCTATGGATCCTCCCCTGGAAATGCTGAAGCAGGCCGCAAGGGGGATAGGGGTTTAAAAAAAATAAATCAGGATCAAAAAAAAATTAA